GGTGTCACTGTCGCTGCCCACATGGGCGTTGAAGTCCCCCAGTAAAACAACGGAGTCCCCAGTCGAGGCCTTTTCCAGCACCCCTCCCAGGGACTCCAAGAAGGCCGGGTACTCTACACTGCCATTCTGCCCGTAGGCACAAACGGCAGTGAGAGACCTTTTTATTGATTTATTTTTTTTTTTTAATTATTTTTGTAATCTAATGTTCTGTCTGTAAAATGTCAAAATAGTGAGATGAAGTGTAAGAGTACACCTTCAAAATTCAATTCCATTTGAAATTATATCAAAGAGGAGCAGCAATTTCTCTTGATACACGGCTTAAAATACTCAAAAATTATTGAATTTTGTTTTGATTAACCATTAAACTAACTGTTGAAGCACATTATCTTCACTGTAAACTCAAAGTGTGGTAATTTCTATAAGAAAAGTCAGAACAAAGTTGGTTTGGTCGCTTTCTGTATGCTTACATAAAATCCATTTTTACCACAGTGGATGTAGCATATGTAACTAAGCCACAGTAAATAACACTGGCCTGTAGGCAAAGAACTTAAAGCTTTGTTTTTGCTCATTCCCAAGAGCATCTACTGAGACCCTGCATGTTCTAAAGGAGAGAAGGATAAAAATCTCAGACCCAAGTTTCAACCAGCGAACACCAACAAGAAACAGATAGTACAACGTTCCCTCATCAACACTGGGGCAACAGGAGGAGGACAGGCAACCGCTGAATTATCTACTGCAGTTTTGGTTACACAGCTTTACAAGGAATCAGAAAGAATGATTGTCAAGATCCTGTAGAAACACCAGAACATCCATCTTTATGCACGACCATTACCCACAGCTATAGCTATTTATAGAGCCCTGTAATTTAATCACACACCTGGTAAAGGCTTAGTGTTAGGCTACTGATGTCTCAATTAATACAATTACAATTATTACAACAGTAATATTATGACTTTACAGAATAATTTACAAGAAAGTCTAAAATGAAATACAAAAAATGCCAAAGGGAAAAGAAATAAGAACAAAATTCATTAGGCCAACTTAAATGCAATGTTTAAAAATAAACTTTGAGCTGAAGTATATGTAAACACCTACGAAATAATGCAAGCTCTTTAATATTGGCTTCTCACCTTGTTTTTCCATTTCCATATGATACCTACTCAAACTGCATGTACACATTCTTCCCTCACATTGTGTTTACAAAGCAGTTTATGCACGGATAAGGCGTACACATGGTTTTGTGTGTAAAAAATAAAAATTACAAAAACTGTCCCCTCGTCCAAATACTTATGCACCTGATTGTACATGTGAACAGAGCTGAACTCCTGTATGTCAGATATGGAGAAGCCTGTATCAGAACTGTGGCTTGCCTGTCTCCTGTACAGAACATTTTCCTCCACTGCTCCCATTTCAACATCCATTTTAAAAACATGTGGGCGATTTTATTTATTTATTGTTTCCATTTGTAGATGCTGTTTATTTGCAAAAGGAGAAATCCTCTGAGATGTCAGGACATTGGCCCTGGAGCACCTCTGCATTCTGCATCCTGTTCACCAATTTATGTCAGCAGAGGACAAGAAAGAGCATGAACCAGGGCCTTTTGTTTGAGACACACTGTCCCAAGCTGCCTTTTTGACTAGTTACACAGTTTGAAATGAGCAGGAGAGTTCAACTAAAACAATATCACTGTGAAAATTTGATACTCACATATGGATTGTTTTGTCCTATAATTAGGTGTCCACGATTTGAAAAATG